AAAAGGGGATTTCAGACAACAGCTGTACTATTCAGCTGCTATTGCTATGTTTCTGCTGACAATGTAAACAACTTGCTGTTTGCTAACATTTCAGTGTTTACATTGGGATATTTTTGAACACCACATCTGCTTATTTGAAATGTAGAACTCTCTAAAGTGACAGTTTGACTTACGCCATCCTGTCACTTATAAGCCTCTCCAAGTGAAAAACAGGCTCAAAGTTACTAAAGTGTTTAAACCTTGTAAGGCATTGTGCACGTCCCCTCGTGGCACCCAAACATTACATCTGGCACCAGGACACGTGAACAGGATCGTTTGTGTTCTGTAGGCTGGAAAACGCTGCAATTAGCCAGTTAGACTGTGAGGAGTTTAGAGGATGGTAAATGTACAGTATGGGGGTTTTGAAGGTGGCCGTGCTTTTCTTCCTCTAAAAATCTACAACAACATTTAGAGGGTGTAATCTGTTAAAGTACCAGCTGCACGAAAACACAGCATAGAAACACAATAGAAATGTCATTTACTGCACCTGTGCAAAAAGACTCTTGAGGTGCAGCTTAGCAGCTGTCAGTCTGTCTCTCTGTTGGTGTCTGTGCTCCATCTTCAAGGAGCCGGAAGAGGACGAAGGCGACGATGGAGGCAGATCGGCTTTCCCCACGCTCTCAGTGCTGCCCTGCACAGCTGGGGCCAGCTGACTGTCACTATAAGCCCTGCTGCCTTGACTGATGAGGCAGCCTCTGAGCTGGCTCTTTTCCACTTTACTCAGCTCGCACAGGTTCTCCGCACTCACGCTGTGCTCCCGAGTCAGCTCGTTCTTCATCTCACCTGGACTCTCCGTGGGCTCCTGGATGATGGGAGTCAGGCGACCTGATTTCCCAGCCAGCTCATCCTCCTGCAAGTGACGTGTGCAGGTGCCAGACTCGTGGTCTTGTCCAGAATTCTTCAGTGCCTCTTTTTTCCATGTCGGGAAGTCAAGATCAAGGAGGGAACCCTCGGAGCTGAATCTACGCATTGCAGCTGTATTAGAAGTGATGAAGAATGGAAAAGGGGGTGCTGCGAAAAAGAAAAGAAAGCAGGAAAAGCTAGAAGTAAGTAAAAAG